ACTGCATTCGCTAACAATGCAATAAGAACTAAGCAAAAACGTTCGAATACAACTTTTGTTATTCATTTCATCGTTTTGGATGAGACTTAGGTTCACCAACATGATCCTGAATGAAAACAAAAACCTTAAAAGTGGTGTTCATATCATTCACCTAATGTGCGTTTCAGATGAAATACCTATTTTAAAGCTTGTGAGGTTTCCAGACATTGTACGACTGTTTCTAAAATGATAATAATGCCAGTAATAAAAATCTCTTTCGTAAGATTTGATTGGATTTCAACAACTCTATTACCAATGAGTACTTGGCATTGGTACTACAACATATCTCAATAGGCCAATTTTTGATAGAAAAAAATTCGACAATAATTCACACCTGCAATATGGACTGCTCTGTCATTACAAGATAAAAGAACGGCTCTATGTATCACATCAACATATCGCACTGACTCAGCTGAAGCATTTTTTTTTAATAGAATGCATAACCACAATTAATCTACAAGCAAAGTAGCGCTTGCATACTCTATAACAAGCAAATAAACGACTATTAGATTTAACAAATGGCAAAAGATCAGAAACAAAACATCGCAATGTGGCAAGAAAGATTAAGCAATAGCACGCAAAGAAGTCGGAAAGATTGATACCAAATATAATTAGCTGATTTGAATGAAAATCGGAAAACTCAAAATACTACCTCACTCAAATGCTGGTCGGACAAGGATATTTTTGTAAGTACCTGTACCGCATGAGAAAGGCGTATCTATCCTTTCTCATTGCATTTATGGCGACAGAGACTGTAACAATGCAGACATCTTTTTTACTGCAATAAGTGACTCACATTTAGATGTGAGATAATGGTCCGGATTGAACCAATAAATCCCGAGAACATTGTAAAAAAGATGAAAGCGAATCCAGAGAACTGGCTAACGATAGAGTGATTCAAGTCCGCAAAGCGAAGAAATTAGAACTGGAAGGAAAAGTAGAAACAAGGTAACAAAAAAGGGCAGACACAAAAAATTGTAGTGAGGTCTGAACGTAGATCAAAAATCAAAAGAGCATGGTTTACAACGTCAATATAAAAAACACCATCCAGGAAGTAATGCAAAACCGGTTCATTGGGTGAGGTGACTGCTTTAGTTTGTATTCTACACATTCATATGGTCGGGAGTTGCTAACTTAATAGACTTCTAAGTTCAGTTATTTCTACGAGATGGCTTAGCAGTTCGTTTTAATTTCATCAGTTTGAGTACATTAATGGGTTTAATACTAAAATTTATTATGAAGTTTAATTTGAAATATAGGCATCAAATATTGCAAATGAAAAATACTAGTATTTATTTGATGATTAGTTAATCTTTCAGTGATTCGTATAAAAATTATATTGAAGACTGGAAACTTTAGTGTCATAAATGTATAATAACAAAGAAAAGAAAAAGACGATGAAATAAACGTTGGAAATAAAATAATACTTTTTGAAAACATTATATATTCTCGTTACTTTTTGATCACACCTGCTGGCACAACACTGCAGGTAATAGCTAGAATATAAAACTGGTTTATTTGCTATAAATAGACACACCACTTCAGTGAGAGAGAGCTGATGTTAACCCTCCTTACTATCTCAACAATATGGGTATATCTGTGGTGACAGAATCTTGTCACAAATGACATGTCATATGAAATTCTCTGGTTATAATTAATTTTTAATTAATTAACTAACATTAATATATATACACATGAACGCAAAGTTTTGAATATAAACATATTAAAATTAAATAACGAATAATTTATTTATTTTTAGTTTTCATATATATTATAATTTTAATAATTACATTAACAAGCATGTTCTTAAGCAACTTTATATATAAATATACAATTCAAAAATTCCTATAAAATTATTAAGTAAATTCTTGGGGTTGTTACAGAAGCAAGCCTCATATAATGCATTTATATGTATATACATTCGATTATAATAATATCATTATATATAAATACACACATAAAAAACAGTTAAGCACTTAATTATTAAATAGGATTTACAATTAGTTTGTCAAAAATTATTTTTAAAATTAAACAAAGAATAAAAAATAAATAGAATAAGTGGAAATGATTAATCCATTTATACAAATATTAAAAAACTTAAATTTTTATATTATAAATGAATATACTGTATAATAATATAAAAAGTAAATTATCTATGAGTGGAGGTACTATACAATCTCCTAGATTTCTTTCATATATAAAACATAATACATAGGATATATATATTTATAGTGAGAGTAACAGCTAAAATAAGACATTAGATTGCATTTAGACCTTTATATTTCAATACAGTATTCTGATACTTCATAGAATTCTAATTTATATTTTGGACGGTAACTAAAGAGAAAACTTTTGATTCTATAAAAATTGTTCAAACTTTATGCTTTAAAAAAATTTCTTGAAGATAATTACATACACTATAACTCATCAAAAAACACATTTTTTGTAAGACTTTCAAAGGAATAAGATGTCCCATTTTTCAAAAAGTGAGCCATGGTGGAGGCTCGGTCATGTTCTGGGGATGTGTTGCATATAATGGTCTGGGTAACTTTATTCCTATTTGACTACCCTAAATGATTATGTCTTTCCTTCCGGAAATAGGTTTATTGGAGAATCACTTATGCTGCAACAGAACAATGCCCCATGCCACAAAGCCCGGATAATAAGTAATTTTTTGAAGGATATTGGTGTTACCACCTCAAAATCCAGATTTCAATATAATAGAAAACGTCTGGTTTCTTTTGAAACGAAAGAGAACAGTTTCGTTAAATAAAACCAAAGAGGAGACAATTTCTGAGGTCACTTCCCTTTGGAAAGAGATATCTCCAGAGATTCTTCAAAATTGAGTGGATTCAGTACCGAGACGCCTTCAAAAAGTTATTGAAGCCAAAGAAGGTTATACATTTTACTAAATTCTTCTTAGTTTCTTTACTTTTGTTAAGTTTAGACTTTGTTATCTTAGTATTATATACTTGTTAAAATACTTATGCGAACATATGAAATTTCTAATTAATATCTTTTTAAGTTTCTATGAAAAAATATTTGTTTATTTTTAATTTTGTTTTAGTCATAAATAAAAACAAAAAAACAAACAAGAATTCTTTATAAAGCCAAACTCAAAAATGCACGATATTTATTTTGTCAAAATACTTATGCCAACTAGTGTACTTTATTTGATTTATTCACTGGTTATAGCATCAGTTAAGACAGAAAACCGTCAAAGATTATTAATCTTGTTGGAATTATAATTAATTATAACGATATAATTAGACAATTTTCACACATTTTCAATTGGCGGAGTTGTTATAGCCCACCTTGTGTCATTGCCATTGCTCTCGCCATTGAAATGTACATCTCGACTATGATACTGGGGAAATTGGATCGGGTTAAATAACATCACTGAATTTTATATTGTATTTAAAAAGAGTTATGTGTTGTTTAAGTAGACCTAATGGACTTCATTAACTTCGTCTGAAAAAACAAATAATCAAACAAAGATAACGCGTTAAACTTTTATGGAAACACTGGTTAATAAAGTTCGCTGCAAAGTAGTCAGTATGAACCATATTATCCCTAGTCTAGGCTTGTAGCTCGAATTTAATTTCGTGACGGGATTTAAGATAAATTCAGTAATTTAAAAAAATTTTATTAATAATATTTAATTTATTAATAACAAATATATAATCATAGCCTATTGATTTATTTCTAGGGTTGCTAGATAGGCTGATACACCCCTAACTACGTGCACGCTCTAATTATAAAACTACATCTTAACGATACACTTTTTCGTGACAAACTGTAGTTGTTAGTTTAAAACTAAGTACCCCACACTGTAGAACACTTTCAATTCCATCTGATGAAATAGGCTAACTAATTATAGTACAGGTAACAATAGATGTGAGTAATTAGAATATGGTATATTTTTAATCTATATCTATATATATACGATGTTTAGCGATTGAATATAAAACAGACATTTAAATGAAAAATGAAGTCATAACCTAAAAGCATTGCTTTCAACGATCTTTGACGACAAATTTAAATAAATTGGTATAATATTAGAGAATTTGCAAGGACCTTTAAAACTTGTCACTTCTTTATCGTAATCATGTCGATATGCTAACATAAAGGAACTATATGAAATAAAATAGTTTATCCCTACCTAAGTGTGGATATGTGAAAGTTTCTTGAAAGTAATATTCTAAAATACTTCCACAGAGTTGTGATAATAATAATATGACGGAGTTAATATACTAGATAATATGGAGTTATGTGGAAGTTAGACATATCTGTATTATGGAAGAAATCATTTACCATTTCTTCCATATGAATTGAAAAGCACTTAGTTCCTATTTATTGAATGCTAATATAATTTATATTTAAATTAAGGACATTACTTGTCATTGTTACGTTTGTAGTCTTATCATAAAATTAATTGAATAGAATACATAATAAATAGATTCTCATACTCAAATATACTAATAATCTGAGCAAGATAAAGATAATTCCTATACGTTATAATAAGTAATCAATGCAATATTTTCATAAACAATAATTTATATAATCTTTACAATAAAAACTTAAAAGTAAAATTAATATTTAAAATTATTTTACAAAAAAAAATCTAATTAATTAATTTACAAATTCATATAATACATATATATTGTTTAAAAAAAAGTGTAGGAAGCACATTTTTGAAACGGCTTTAATATATGTATTGATCAAGTAGAAAGTCTTTAAGCCAGTTATATGTATATATATATTATTTTAAAAGGCTTAATACTTTTTATTTAAATATATACTTAAACACACATAAAATATTTAAAATATTCTGCATATATGTTGCTTAAACTATATAAAATTACTTTAATAAGTAAATTCAAAGCACAACAATTAATACATATTATTATATACATATATACAAATATATGTATATATTTAAATATATTTGTTTATAAAAATTTATGTTATTCCTTTATTTCAAGAGATTTGCACTTACAAATTTTTGTGTCATTCGTTTAAGTTTCATTGGGCTTGTATTCCTCTTTTACGAAATGATAAAATCTTTTTAATCTTTTTCGTTTCGTAAAATACAACAATCCTTCCATCAATTCTAAAGAATTTAAGTATCTATATTTTTTAGACACTCATTTTTGGTTTGTTTGCTTCTAAACGTTTTCTCATTGCTTTCAGTCTTTGATTGCAATAGACTCGTAAAAATATGGCAAAGAATACAACCAAAACACCTAAGACTCCCAGTAGTGATATACTGTGATTATACAAGAAACATGAAAGCATTATCGCGGCAGCCTGAAATATACAAAAAAGTATCCATTAGATAAATCAATACACCAATTTTCTTATATAAATATTTGAAATTATAAATAGAAAAAAACCAAACTTCTATCAAAGTTTCCGATATATGTTTACTTTTGCGATTTAATTAAATAATATGAAAAAAAATGGAACATAAAATTTAGTTTAAACAACTGTTTAATTTTTATAAATAAATATATAGAGTTGAGTCACATGATAATACGAATGTACAATGTTTTCAAAGAATGTCTGAAATGGGACGTTATTAAATCGACAAATTAAAATATGGGTTTTTTAAACAAGAATTTATAGTACACATTTCAAAACATAAAAGTGTTTAAAATGATATTAAAAATTACTAAATTTTTTACAATTTTATTCTCAAATAAGAAAAACAGTTAGCTTTGAGTTTGCTGAAAGTTCTCACAGCGATAGTTTTGTTAGATTGGGTTATTAAGGTCATGCTAAGTTTCTAGTTAGGCTTTTTAGACTATTGTGTTAATGAAGTCCAAGGGGTTTTATTGGACAGATCTTGCAACTGAGTAAGATCCTCTAGAAATGTGTTAGCAGTGGTACCTCATGATGTACTATTTCTCACATCAACAGTATTCTTTATCTTTCCCATTCTTTTTATTTTATTAAATAACTACAGAAATACTGTATTTTGGAAGGACTGGCACTAATATTTTTCCAAAAAATAATATCATAAAAGACGAAAATTTAAGTTTTAAATATGTTATATATTTCTTTTACGTTAAGTACATAGTTAAAAACAAATTAAAATATATCGGATACTGCCATATATTCAGTATCAATGGTATTTTGGAAACATATATTAGTTTAATAACATGTACATATTTTTTTGACGGCAAGTGGAACACTGCCAGATTTAAACCAAGGACTGGAACACTAACACAAAAACCCACGGTATACTTAATTTGTATATTGCATATTCTATAATTTGTACACAATTTCGAGATTTGTAGGTTTCTGATGTTTTTTCGTAAACAATAATTGCTCTTGCCGTCCTCGTTTTAGAACTAACGCATAAACAACAGCTATATAAATTTTATTTACTATTTTAAACTGTTTTTTTTTTTTCCTTGAATTTCTACGCTATTATTTGTTGAAATTTAAGTTGGTGTTAAGTTGGAAGTCTTAACGGTCATCGAACCAGTCGTTGAAATACGCTGTTCTCGAAAGTAAGTCTCTAGCATATTTAATATAAGTCACACTTATCGGACAATAAAAAAAAAATATTAGTTAATATTCTGAAGAATATGCAATGCACAATTGAAGTTAGCAGGAAGTTGAAATACCGTTAGCAGACATGAAATTGTGGCAAAAAATGAACAATAACAAAAGATTGTTGTTGTAGCAGTAGCCCGTAGAAATTCTGTCCATGTGGGGGGTAGTGAACGTCACTTGTTTCTCCAATTTGACGAGTGGGCTCCGGGATGTAAACCCGGCCATTTTTAGGCACTGATAAAGTAAAGAAAACTAAGGCAAGTACAAAATATATTGTAAAAGGTGATTTAGCTGTTTTTTCTATCATAAAAACCATTTCCAGCATACACTTTGCCGGTAGATAAGAATTACAATCGTCCATCGAAGATTTTGCTGTTACATGTTAAACTTACTCATTCTGTATTTTTTTTTACCACAGAAATAGTTTATTAAGTTTAGTTACTTTGTACACTCCATTATATATCAAAATATAATTTATTACACATTGAACCAAATCTGTTTTTTCTTTACTTCACACACTTAATTACAAATTCTTTTAAGCATCTAAGTTAAGTTCATTAACTTACCTGACGTAGCGTCATTATTATCGTAAACACAACTGGTCCAAAAACAGAAATAGTGTAGAAAATAAACAACTGTCCAACAGCTGAACTAATTGATAATATCATTATATCAAAAATGAATTTCGGATGCTGAAATTTTAAAAATATTTATTTAAAAAAGCAAACAAAATGCATTAAATAAACACAACTCACTTCTGTAGCAAAGGCAAGTGAATCTATAAAACCGCCTTGTATGGAAAGTGAGGCAGCGGTAAATACAGTAGAAAACAAATTAACGCCACACATCATTTGCAATGGCGTCATACCATATCCCTTAAAGAGTTCGCCTTGCCAGTTCGCAGTGAAGCTATCGAAAACCATATACATAGCCAATAAAAACACACCAGTCAGAGTGGTGACTCCACTCGCTTTTGAACTATCCGCAGAACCAGTCATAAAAAATATCATACCAAGCGATATAAGAATTGCAGTAAAGTATTCATAGCACTCATACTTGTTTTTGGACATTATTTTACCCATTAGCATGACCGGTATAATTTTGCACGATTTAGCTAAGACTTGTGTAGGGAAGTTGACAAACTTAAGCGCTTCATACTGAAACCAAGCGCTCATAATATTTGAAAAGGATGCATATGAGTATTTGTATAAAGGAGTGCGATGTCGTGTGGGTGGTGGCCTAAGATGTAACCAAATTAACGCCACAAAGAATGCCGAAATACGATTACTGAATACCAAAAACTGCGAGTCCTTAAAATGTGAAGTTTCCCCAGCAAAGTTTTGATATTCTTGAGTCATAATTTTTTCTTGTAGCACACCCCATGTGAGGTAGGAACACATAAGTCCACCGAAACACCAAAACAACAACACTGCTTCCTGTGAACTAGTTCGTTTCGGCGGTGTGGAAACAACTTTGTCGCCCACTAAAGGGATCTCAACTTCACCTGGCTTTGGCTTTGCTTGCAACTGTTCATCACGTTCACTGTCTCTACCCGTTTGACCGGTGATGCACATACTAACTGCGGTATAAACGCAGGATTTATCTGTTAAATTTAATTTAATTAACAAAAGAGCCTTAAATATTAATGTTGTGATATAGTTACCACTTCTTTCTAAATAATTTGTGCGCTGTACATATTTGTAAATGAGAAAACCAGGTACGAAAACACAACTGTAGCCAAAGCAATTGACTAATAATTTGAGCAACCAGGAATATTCCTTAGCGTGGGAATCGACAAGCTGAAATAACGTGTCGTGGGTGTAGTAGCCACCTAAGGATATGCGCAGCAAGTCTGAGAAGAAATGTATGACCAGCAGCGTCACAACCACCAATCCGCTAATTATTTAAAAATTAAATAAATATATTTCATTAAAAACAATTTAATTGATTATAAATGAAGTGATAAATACCAAATAAAAACATCTGGTGTTTTATTTGCCATTTTGCAATTTAACGGGGAACAATTTAACAACATTTGTGAAAGGTTTGTGAAGTTTAACTCTTAAAATAATTCAATGCTGTTTTCTGTTCTCTGCTCTGTCTGCTTTAAGCACAGCTAACACGTAATCAAAGCCTTGAACTCCGGCACAAATATTATAGAATCAACTTTCGAACACTGAATTTGTTGTTATTTTCTTTGTGTACGGTTTCTAGCATAATTGCTGACTCTGCGATTTTTCTATTAATATTTGAATAAAAGTTATTTGCCCGTAGCGTTGAACCACCGGTCATTATGAATGACAGCAGAACAACAACACTCAGATGAAATCTGCTGCGCCAAAATTTATATGCTAATATTTTTGAACTAGAAAAGGTCGTTGTACGTTTAAGTTCTAACGTTTTGCCAAATCTAAATCCACAGCGGCAGCGACAGCAACAACAATAATAAAACTAGTTTAGCATTTTGACATAGTTTCTTGCATATAAACAACAATACGACTTCTTTGATACGTGGAAATCTCACATGACGCTTTTTGTGCGTTTTTCAAATTTTGAACCGACCGCTTAGCTTAACAGCTCTGCTTTGTTTGAATTCACATCGTTTAAGTTAAAGCCGATAAGTTATTTAACACAAACTTAAATGAATCTGTGAAGTTCTGCGCTATATTCAGACGGTGCTGAACAGCTGTTAGTACGACCACTCATAAATATGAAACCGCGCGTTCTCACGCATGGTTGCATTTTGCCTCTTGCTATTAGT